CCGCTCCAGCAAGCGCCGTCCATGAGCCCGCACCAGCAAGCGCCGTCCATGAGCCCGCTCCAGCAAGCGCCGTCCATGAGCCCGCTCCAGCAAGCGCCGTCCATGAGCCCGCTCCAGCAAGCGCCGTACATGAGCCCGCTCCAGCAAGCGCCGTCCATGAGCCCGCTCCAGCAAGCGCCGTCCATGAGCCCGCTCCAGCAAGCGCCGTCCATGAGCCCTCAAAAGAGGTTCTGAAATCGGTTTCTGCTCGTCAGGAGATGCCCATCTTCCTTGCTGCTAAGACCCTCTCTGATTATTTGTCTTGTCTAGCTAAAATCCTCGAAGTCCCTGTCTGTCCTGTCTTGTCCCCAGCCCCCGAGCCTGCCGCTGTGAGCGCTGCACCCGAGCCTGCCGCTGTGAGCGCTGCACCCAGTCCTGCCCCTTCGCCTGCTATGTCCCGTTTCCTCACCCTCTGTCTCTGAATCTGTTGCTGCTACCACTGAAGCAGTATCCCAGTCTGTTCTCCCGGTCTCCCCTGTCTCCACTAATTCCCGGACTGTTTCTCCGTTCGTCCCTGTCTCCACTAGCCCCCGGACTGTTTCCCCGTTTGTCCCTGTTACCACTAGTCCCCGGACTGTTTCCCCGTTTGTCCCTGTCTCCACTAGTCCCCGGACTGTTTCCCCGTTTGTCCCTGTCACCACTAGTTCCCGGACTGTTTTCCCTGTCTCCACTAAGCCCCGGACTGTTTCCCCTAAGACCTCTCCTCGTGTGTCTCCGTCTAAACCTGCCCAGAGTCCTCGTCCTCAGCCCTCATCCCGTGGACCCAAGACCCCCAGTCCTCCCATCCACCCTGGACCTCCCCCCATGAACTCTGTGTTTCCTCCACCTCCTTTGCCTTGTATGTTGTATTTGATGTTTCACCCCAGCCCTGTTATTGTTTTTTCTTGTTTGCCATTATTAATGTTTTCCATGTTTTGTTGGTTCGTGTCTTTGTCACAGTCTGTCATGTCCCGTGTTTAATGTCCCCTTGAGGAGCGTCTGGTAGCCGCTCCTTAAGGTGGGGGCTCTGTCATGATTCTGCCTTAGTATCCTTGATTTTCCTAGTCGTGAGGCAGGATCATGACAGAATCATGTTTTGTGTACAAGCGCATGGCCAATTGTTTGGACCATGTGCTTGTGTTGTCTCATTACGTTACCCCGCCCCCTTGTTATCCTCGTCTCGTCATTATTGTCTAGTCAGTTTCACCTGTCCTTGTCATTAGTGTTCCCTTTATAATCCCCTTGTGTATGCTGTCCTGTGTTGGTTCATTGTTTGATGTAAGTGACATTCGTTGTGTGCATCTAGCTGTGAGTAACTTGTTGGAAGTCTTGTTTAAGAGAAATATTTGTTCCTGTCTTAGTTGTTAGTTTATTGTCTGAGTCTTAGTCTAGTGTATCCTGTCTTGTTTGCCCCATCGAGGGTTTTGTTTTCTGTTTTTGTCATCAAACCCCTGTTTGTATTATTTGCTGTCTGCAATTGGGTTCATTCTTCTGCCACATAACACTTGTGGCAGGGCGGCAGTGGCTCAGTGGTTCATGTAGGTTGTCTACAAACCGGATGGTTGGTGGTTCAATCCCCGGTTCCACCTGGCCAAGTGTCGAGGTGTCCATGAGCAAGACACCAAACCCCAGCTGCTTCCGACGAGCTGGATGGCGCCTTGTATGGCTGACACCACCGTCAGTGTATGAATGAGTGTGTGAATGTGAGGCAAAATGTAAAGCGCTTTGGTGGCCATTGGGTCTGTGAAAGCGCTATATAAATGCAGTCCATTTACATCTCTTTTTAGAGTGTGAGTTAGAAACATTAATAACCTGTGAAAGTGAACCTTAATGTAAAGTGGAAACCTGTGAACCATTTATTCACAAGTTAGAAACATTAATAACCTGTGAAAGTGAACCTTAATGTAAATTGGAAAACTGCGAACCATTTATTCATGTGAAAGTGAACCTATAGAGCATCACAGCCGGTGCCGGAAGTAAAAATTCAATACAATTTCTCCATTGAAAGTTGGGGTATAAGCCATAAAAACGTAACCATACATGGAAGACTTAAAACCAGCTACGGCTGTACTAAGTGATTGTATATGCTCATATAAACGCCAAAAGTTCATGGGGCACTAACCTTTAAGATAAATGCCTTTTATTCGCGATGTATTGGATAAGTACTTCATTACCCACAATCCTGAACAATCCCACAGTCCCACAGTGATGCATCTGATTGGTGGAAGTCGTGTAACGTGTCTGGTTAAACCCCGTGTCTGGTTAAGGTCCGTGAAGACTGAAGATCGTGTAATGACGTAGGTCTAGTTCATTGGTCGCACGTCAGAGGCGCCTGCGCCATTGGATGTGCATTTGCCGCAGTACAGCCTATGAGCGAGCCAGATGCTCAATGTGTTAGCTGTGCAGCTGCAAATGCGTTTTACAAAGAAGCTTCAGTAAATCGAGGAAAAGGAGTTTCCCTGTACATTTACTATATAATTCACTGGAGGAAAAAGTTCACCTGGCCGTCGTCAGATTTGGAAGTCGCTCAAAAGGCTCTTTTGCGGTTGTGGCTTCAGTCGACTTCAGTGAGGCGCAGTGGTTTATGGGATGAGTAGTTCCTTTGCTCGGAAATGAAAATATGTACACAGTCTTGTACCCAGTGTTGGGCAGTAACGCAGTTAATTTTGACAGTAACTCATACTGTAACGCATTACTTTTTAAATAAATTAACTCCGTTATCGTCACCATATGGTGCGTTTGTCCATTACTTTTTAAAATTAATTAATTTTGGCTGAAGTGTAGCCTACAGCCTAACCTGTTTACAGCAGCGACGCATTGTTGGTGGTAGGGTTGCCACCCGTCCCTTAAAATACGGAATTGTCCCGTATTTACAAGTATAATGTCCGTATCAAATCAATAAGGGACGCGATTTGTCCCGTATTTTACATAAGGCCCACACATAGCCTAGTTGGATAAAAACATAGGCTTTACTATACTAATAGCAAATAGCCTATAAATAATCAATTTCACAATAATGTTACATTATGATTAGAATAAAATGAATTTTGTCCATTTTCTAAGCTTAGAAAATGCACATTTATACGGGCTGAATTTTATAGGCCTAAAATAAATATGGTTTAGTAATTATGCGAATAACACTGCGCAAACTACTACCCACCGAATGAAGAAGGGTTGGCTCTCAGTCTCCACAGAACAAAATATTCATTTTATTTTATTTTTAGTGTTCGCATTTATGCGGAAAAAACAATGTTACGTACGTGACAGTTCTCCATTACGGACGCGACGTGCTCTGAAAGCGGCACTAAAAGATGCTTTAATACTTGCAGAGACATCAAACAGAAAGCACAAAACCTTTTAAAGTTAATTTCGTTTTGTTTTAATTGTATCTTAATTTTAATCAATGTTTTATCAACCAATTGCCTGGATTTAATAAATAAGAAGTTAATATAGCAGACGATAGATAATCACGAAATGGAGGCACCGGCGCGTGAACTGGAGCTCATCTCATAAATGAACCGAAATTCGGCGTATAAGGTAGCCTACTTGCCTCACAGACATGTCTCCTTTTAAACACAACAATTCAAAACGAAAGAAAACAGACTACAGACTGCTCTCTGCTCATGTAATCCGTATGAAATGTGCATTTCTCTCTGGCACGCGCTACTACTGCGAAGATCGCGAGTCAGCATAGTGAGTCACCTCAGAAATCCTTGTGATATATTCAGTTTGTGCTGGTCTGACTCAAATAAAATAGTGTTTAAAAATTACTTTCTGTTTAAGTCAGTTTTGTGTTTGTATAGACCATAACGCATAAAAGGGCATTAATGGGAACATTAAAGAATGTTTTTTTTAAAGTAACTAAAAAGTTACTTTTAACAGTAACGCATTACTTTTTGGTGTAAGTAATCAACAAAGTAATTGAGTTACTTTTTGAATGAAGTAAGTAACTGTAACTAGTTACTATTTCTTAGTAACGAGCACAACACTGCTTGTACCTTTGACTTTTTTGGATTTTCTCTTCGTTTTTTCACTCGAAATGATATGTTGTATGCTTATGAGTTCAGCCGTAGCTGGTTATCCTCAGACATGCTCTAAAACTCTTTAGATACGGATTTTCCAAAACGTCAATGGGAGAAATGAATGGGAAATTTACTTCCGGTGTTCTGACGATTTGTGCTGCCTTGTCGAAAAATGCTACCGTAACGCGAATCGATCACAGAATGTCGATTAATATTATATGAAATACAATTATAATACAATTCTAAGTTATGAGTAGTTACTGTATACTGTAGACTACTGTTTTTATTTTTAAAACGGTGTGAAAATTAAAAATTATCATCAAATATTCATCTTTGACTTGTCAAAGCACACTTTTCCTTAGTAACTGAAACTTTCAGTTATTATTGTTCAGCTGGCTGACCGTACACATATTCATATGCTAGTTATCATTTTTAAAGCGAAAATTCCAATATAACACATGAAAATGTACCTTTTGTTAAAAAAAAAAACTGTGCGTCTGCACATGCGCATAACCATTAAGTAGCAAATCTCGATGGGTAGCATGAATCGTCAGAACACCGGCACCAAAGCTCTCTCGGGCTGTGGGCGGGACTGTGAAGCTCTATAATACAGTTTTTAAATCACCCTAACCTTATCCCATTTGCAATGTGCAGTACAACATGCCCGAGACCCAAAAAATGAAGCGTACTGTAGCCATTAGAATCATTAATGTATCGGATATAATAAAATGAAAGGGGATTGCTTATGTGCACGGCAATATCCTGAAACGAATGATTCAAGAGAGCCGATTCGCTAAAACGAGTCACCCTTCGCAACTGAACAATTACACATAAGTAACTTAATTTTGCCTTTTATTTTCTTGTTAATATTTGTCTTGTGTATTTCTACAATGTCTAAATAACTTCTAAATTATTTAATGAAGAGTGACATCACTCTAAACTGTTTTGTTGAATCGCACTCAGCTTTAGACGTGGCACTGTGTGACGTCATCAGCGCGCGGCCGTGTTCCACTGTTGTTTTCTCGCACTTCTTCTGCTCCTGTTTAAAAACTTACACTCCGTTTAATCGCGTCAGGTAAGAATTATAATTTTTTATGCATTATTCAGTGAATATTTTGCAGAAAAACACTTAAATAGCGCCGTCTGTTGGAAAATGCTGTTACCCTGAAGCTAAATTCACAGAGACATTAGATAACGTTAGTGCGTATCACTATCAGATATTGATATTTCATCATGAATGAGACATTAGTGACGTCATGAGTGTAATCGAAGTAAAACGTGATTTGTGTAGTGTAATTTGCCCACCGTATGTATGTGAATGAAAATGTGTGTTCGCACTTCGCAGTAATAATCGATATTACTATCACCTGTGAGTTTTTCATCACATCACATTTTATCACATACTCCGGACGATCAATGCCATCATACTGTCCATTACAAATATTATACATTACAAAGATTCATTCACATAAGAACGTACTACAACGTTCTAAATTATTTTTATAATTGAATTAATAATATTAATAATATATTATTAATATTATGGATGTCAACATTTCATCAATGTTCATAATATATTAATTTAAATATGTTGTCCGCGCATGCTCAGTCATTTGTGATGAAAGTGCCGAAACGGATGTCCTCATGAGACAGCGGGACGCACGCGATATTTTTTTTCACAGGATGGTAGGGGAAGACTCATGAATATTCATTAGGGAACTCATCCCTACCTTCAAACCGAAGCATTGAGTACTTTGTCAGTGTCCAGACAGTTTAATAGAATATATTTAATACATATAGTCAACTTCGCGTATACAGGCAGAAGCCATCTTTGAAAAGCAGTCTTTACCAGTCGATCTACGAACGCCGATCCAAGCCTGCTGTTCGCGCTCACCTTATCACAACTTATAGCTCGTTCACATCTCACCAGCGCACTTGGATCGGCGTTCGTAGATCGACTGGTAAAGACTGCTTTTCAAAGATGGCTTCTGCCTGTATACGCGAAGTTGACTGTATGTATTAAATATCTTCTATTAAACTGTCTGGACACTGACAAAGTACTCAATGCTTCGGTTTGAAGGTAGGGACCCTCATTATGCTACCGTGCTAGTGTGGGGCTATTTTGAGCCTTGTTAGTGGTATTAACAAGCGATTTTTATTTGTCATTACTCGATGCCCAATATACTAGCATTATACTAGCTTTATAGGCTAAACTGTTTTTAGAGATAAAACTATTTACATTCGATATTCATGAAAACAAATCTCAGATAACGGTTGACTAGGTAACAATGTGTAATTAGACCAAAGGTTCATTTTGCGCCGGAGTTCTCCTTTAAATAAGTAGAAGTTTACAGTTTGTCATGTGGTGTTTACAGGACAGAGAGAAGATGATGGAAGAGAGCGGCATAGAGAGCACCCCGCCGGGCACCCCTCCACCCCCCCCGACAGCGGCCGCCGGCCCCCCGCCACTCTCCAGCGGTAACCTCACTGATGATGATGATGATGATGATGATGATGATGATGTCGTCACTGCGCTCTCATTAACCCCACCCTCTCTGATTATCATGATGATGTCACTGCGCTCTCATTAACCCCACCCTCTCTGATCATCATCATGATGATGTCACTGCGCCATATTATGTCATTTAATATTCCCATCATGCTCTGGTACTGCTTTTCATCATCTGTCGATAGTTCATGCATGTATTTGAGCGTGTCTCTTCTTGTGTTCAGGTGTTTCCGGCCCTCCGACCATCTCAAGCCCCTCCAGCATCTCAGCGTTTGCCCCGGGGGGGTTCACCAGCCCTGTTCCCTCCAGCAACTCAGCGTTTGCCCCGGGGGGGTTCACCAGCCCTGTTCCCTCCAGCAACTCAGCGTTTGCCCCGGGGGGGTTCTCCAGCCCTGCTCCCTCCAGCAACTCAGCGTTTGCCCCGGGGGGGTTCTCCAGCACTGTTCCCTCCTCGCTGCCCCCCCCGCCTCTCTCTCTCGGCTCGGTGTCGTCTCCTCTGGGTCTGAGCGGCCCGTACGCCGGCCCCGGTGCCCCCTTCACCCCCCCGTCTGCCAGCCCTGCCACCCATCTGGGCCCCATCCTCTCTGCCCCCCCCATGGGCCCGCCCACCACCGGCTTCTCTGTGAGCGCAGGATATGACATCACCCGGGGCCATGCTGGCCGCACCCCCCAGACGCCGCTGATGCCCAGTTTCTCCAGTGCCGCACCCATGCCAGGTATCACTCAACAATCTCAACCTGCCTGACCCCGTTTACACCTGCTAAGGCACCAGTGGGTTCGCATTAATTTGTGCATGAAATCTTGTTTCATCAAACTTTTGTGAAATTTATGGGAAAATGTCAGAACAGTTGAAACCACAAGTACACAAAAATCGCATACATATAAAGGTGCCCTTATAAATGTGTTGGCATTGCTCGAGGATCTTGCTATCATGCTAGAGCATGTTTCTAGAGAGAGTTACATATGTTTGCTTAGAATGATGAAAGGATGTAAAGGAGAGGTTGTACTGAAAGCAATTATATGAAGATTTTAGGAGTTCTACTATGCAATAATCAACTAATGTATATATGTATATAATGTAATATGCAACTAATCTGATGATGTCAGTCATTTAGAATACTCGAAATTCATTAACAATAGAATGGAGTTACGAACAAATTAAAAAAAATCTGCGTACGCAATATGCTTGAATTAGGTTGAATTTCTTAAGAAGTCACTGTGAATATGAATAATCCACAAAATTATTTGTGAATGAGACCAAATGATTGACAAACAGCTGTAAAAGCTGTTGGATTGACAGCAGGAAGGGCTGCATCTAAGAGTAATGAAAGGAAAATCCCCTGCTCCTTGTTCACTTTATACTGTCATATAGTCGTGAGAAAAGAGTGAACAAAAATGAGTGAGCGAACTCAGACACTGAAGTAGGACTCTGGTGCATCGTGATATTTCATTTAACCAGACCTTAACAGTGCATTATTCAACGAGTGCACTAGAGAATTGCCACTATGGTTTCGGCCAGCACTATAAAACAGTGCACTATATAAGGGGATCATGGGTGATTTCGGACACATCTCTTGTCACTTAAGTTCAGTCATTACAGGGAATAAATATCATACTCTCAGCAGATCATATAGTGCTGATGTCGTTGTGTTTTGTAGGGATTGTTACCAATCCCATGATGCAGCAGCCGGTGTCTGGAGGGTTGGACGTGAGCTCGCCCATCACGTTTCCTGAGGACACTGAAGATCCCCGAGTGACTCCGGACGGCAACGCACCTGGTGGATTATGGGGCTTCATCAAGGTACTGGACACACAGTGAGGCCATGGTGCCGTGCTGTCGTTTCTCTGTGCGCCTGATGCAGTTGTGTTGTAATCGCAGGGTGTAGCTGGGAACCCGATGGTCAAGACTGTCCTGGATAAAACCAAACACTCTGTGGAATCCATGATAACCACATTGGACCCTGGGATGGCACCTTACATCAGTGAGTACTGTGTGTCCAGCACTGCAGAACAATACATTGTATTTTGCTTAGTTTGAGTTTTTTCAGTTCATTAAAGGGGCTAGATGTAAGAATTTTCATGTATTAATTGCTTTTTGTATTCCCAATGTGTGAACCATTTGTAATGAAACTTAAAGAAAACCTAGGTTGTGAATGAAAGTCTGTAGACTGATTATTATGTGAAGGACTCTTCTAAAAAATCAGTGACACATGAACCGAAAGCTGATGTTCAGGATAATGCAGAATTAATTAATTATAGTCTCACATAGCCAGATCTATATAGTCTGCAGTCTCAAGTATACTTTATAATCAAACTATCGTAACAGTGTAATTTGAATGACCTCTTCTGTTGTCATGATGCCGGTGAATCGCAGAGCTGGAGCAGACATCCTCATCGCTATGATCAGATGCTTTCTGAACTGCTGTTTTCTCACCGCTGTCATGCTGTTGTTTATCTTGTTATTGAGGAAAGCACACAGCACATATTTTCATATTCATCTGAACGTCGCTCTCAGCAGAGTGGACAGTGTCAGCATGTTCGTTAACAGTATATCGCTGTAAAGGTATTTCCAACTTCTTTTTACTTCTAAGCAAAGAACGGAAAAGACCTCTCTGTGAGTATATCGGGGCCTTGAATCACGATCAGTCTCTAGTGCGTTACTTGTGCACAAGTGCAATTAGTCACTGGCTGCAGTTCACTCGATTGGCACCGGTGTCGCTAATATCACGGGTTTCTGAGTTTTACAAATAGCCCCTTTAATGCGTAAGTAGTAGGGTTTATTTTGTTTCTGAATAATTGACTATTTCAGTTCAATTCAGATCAGTGATTTTATTTTGTCCTCTTTACACACAAATCATCACAACACCTCATCACATGACGTCATATTCAAACAATATGAAACTGTAGGTTTCATATTTCATATGTAATTCTGGATGTCAGCCACATCGCTAAAACTGTTTCATCCAGTACGTTTAGCTAACTGCTGAGAAATGTGCACCGAACCGCACTCTAATGGAAATCCCTTTGGAACCGATACTTGGTTTCCTCAGAAATGCTCGGCTTGACGGAGGAAAAGCATTCATGTGATTGTCATTGTTGAATGGTGTGTGTCTCAGAGTCTGGAGGAGACGTGGACATCGTTGTGACGTCAGATAAGGAAGTGAAGGTGGCAGCGGTGCGCGACGCCTTCCAGGAGGTGTTTGGTTTGGCCATGGTGACGGGAGAGGCGGGTCAGTCCAACATCGCCCCGCAGCCGGTGGGATACGCCGCAGGGCTCAAGGTGAACGCGCCTCTGCTTCATGTTCCCCTCAGCCTCTGACTGCGTCCAGTTACAGTCATGAAAACTGACCATTTCACAGGAAATAGAAAATCAGCTGACTTGACCTGAAGGTTGTGTGTGTGTGTGTGTGTAGGGAGCTCAGGAGCGCATTGACAGTCTGCGTCGCGCGGCTGTCATTCATGAGAAGCAGCCCGTAGTCTCGGTGGAGAACTTCATAGCTGAACTCTTTCCAGACAAGTAAGAACAGTTCATCCTGTAAATACAAAAACAGCAAAAGCATCTTGCATTTAACCAAATACTTCAGCCATAATACTGTAGGCTGTTACCAATAACATCTTGTCAACATCAACAGAGTTCATCTGTACACTGCAAAGGTGGAACTGAAGCTGCACTGACTTGGCATGTTTATTTCACAGACTGTTTAATGTTACTCAAAGGTGGATACATGTATTAACACAACAATTGCATGATGTAAACTGACTGCTTAAACAAAATCTCACTAAATGGTAGGGCTGAAATGTTATGACAAAAATCATTATTTTCGATTGTTGCTCCTGATATTGTCAAGTCACATTTATTTATATAGCGCTTTTTACAACACAGATTGTTTCAAGGCAGAGTAATGTTTCTGAATTGTGTTTGGGGAACGGCGTGTCACATTCTGCCTACACTGACAAAAACAAGCTAAGAACCATTCAAGTTCAAGTTCAAGTTGAGGTTTATTGTCATTCCACTACATGTGGGAACATACAGTGGGACGAAATGTCGTGCCTCACAGGACCACGGTGCTACATAAGTACAAACATACAAAAATGTAACAGACATAAACATTGTTTGTTAAGCAACTAGTTGGGGAATATTACAGTAGTGCATGAAAATGTACATAAATATAATAATAGCTGAGTCTGTTTTTTTTATACACGCAGCAGTGTGTGTAAAGTGTCTAGTGCATAGTTTGTAAAGTGTCTTAGTATGTTTCAGGAGGTAGGGGTTTGCATGGGGTTTCAGAGGGTGTAGTTTGAGTTCAGGGCCCTCACGGCCTGGGGGAAAAAGCTGTTGAGCAATCTGGCGGAGCGGGCTCTGATGCTCCGAAACCGTCTTCCTGATGGTAGGAGCTGGAAGAGACTGTGAGAGGGATGGGTGGAGTCCTTAACAATACTGTTGGTTTTGCTGGAGCATCGTGTAAGGAAAATGTCCAGGATGGAAGAGAGAGATGATCTTTGCAGCTGTGTTCAGTGTCCGCTGGAGAGTCTTGCGGTCAGCAGCACTGCAGTTCCCGTACCAAGCAGTGATGCAGCTAGTCAGCACACTCTCAATGGTGCCCCTGTAGAATGTGGTGAGAATAGGTGGAGGGAGGCTTGCTCTTTTCAGCCGGCGGAGAAAGTGTAGGCGCTGTTGTGCCTTTTTGGAGAGTGACATGGTGTTGGTGGTCCAGGTGAGATCCTCTGTGATATGCACCCCCAGAAATTTAGTGCTGCTGACTCTCTCCACAGTCGAGCTGTCGATGGTCAATGGGGGGTGGTCAACCGAGTTTCTCCTGAAGTCTATCACGACCTCCTTTGTCTTTCCCATATTGAGGGACAGATTGTTAGTGCCACACCATTCAGCCAGCTGTGCCACTTCCTCTCTGTAGGGCGTTTCATCATTGTTGCTGATGAGACCTACCACTGTTGTGTCATCAGCAAACTTGATTATGTGGTTGGAGCTGAACTTGGCAGTACAGTCGTGGGTCAGCAGTGTGAAGAGCAGCGGGCTGAGCACACAGCCTTGTGGGGCACCTGTGCTAAGTGTGGTAGTGCTCGAGGTGTCGTGGCCGACACGGACTGACTGGGGTCTTCCGGTAAGAAAGTCCAGGATCCAATTACAGAGGGAATTGTTGAGGCCCAGCAGGTTTAGTTTATTTATGAGCTGTTGTGGAATAATTGTGTTGAATGCCGAGCTGAAGTCAATGAACAGCATTCTAACATAGGAGTCTTCTAGGTGGGTTAGAGCCAGGTGAAGGGTGGAGGAAATTGCATCTTCCGTACAGCGGTTGGGACGGTATGCAAACTGAAGCGGGTCGAGTGTGTTGGGGAGGCAGGCTTTGATATTGTGCATGACTAGCCTCTCAAAGCACTTCATTATGATTGAAGTCAGTGCTATGGGACGGTAGTCATTTAGGCAGGACACAGGTGATTTCTTTGGTACCGGAATGATTGTTGTGGATTTAAGACATGTGGGGACGACTGCCTGGTGCAGCGAGGTGTTAAAGATATATGTAAGCACATCTGTCAGCTGTGCAGCACAGTCTCTCAGAACACGACCAGGTATGTTGTCGGGACCTGCAGCCTTGCGTGGGTTAATCCTGGATATGGACTTCCTTACGTCGGCTGGAGACAGACAGAGCGCCCGGTCGTTGGGCGGTATGGGCAGTCTTTGTGCAGGTATGTCATTCTGCATGTCAAAACGTGAATAAAAGTGGTTGAGTGCATCGGGGAGGGATGTATCATCATCACAGGCCTGTGGCGGAGGCTTGTAGTCAGTGATGGTCTTAATGGCATGCCACAGGCTCCGTGTGTCTCTACTGTCGGAGAAGTGTTTGTTGATTTTTTGAGCATATGACCGTTTTGCATTTTTAATGCCACAGGACACGTTGGATCTTGCTCTTTTGAGGGCTGCTTTATCTCCTGATCTGAATGCTTCATCTCTGGACTTTAGCAGCCCACGAACCTTTGTTGTCATCCATGGCTTCTGGTTTGCACGTGTGGTGATGGTCTTGGTGACTGTCACATCATCAGTGCAATTTTTAATGTAGGCAGTCACAGTTTCAGTGTACTCATGCAGGTCTGTGTGATTGTTGTAGGTAGCTGCCTCTTTAAACATGTTCCAATCTGTGCATTGAAAGCAGCCTTGTAGTGTTGAGGTAGCATCATTTGGCCAAATTGTCAAGAGTTTTTGAACCGGTTTGGCATAACAGAAATATGGTCCTTGAACCCAAGGTGGGGGCGGGGTACAGCCTTGTAAGGATTCTTTTCTGTTGTGTAAACTAAGTCCATGAATTAGTTTATTTATTTTTTTGTATTAAAAAAACAAGACTTCACACTGGTTGTCTAGCATGAAAAACAAAACAGTTATTCAAACTGGGAATAGATTTTTATAGAGAAAGGAACATTCCCCATCTTTAGTCTACCGCTAGTTATGCAACATGCACTCTGGCAAAACCCCTCATTATAATCAGTGTCTACACTGGAAATGAAGCGTTCACACTTGGCAGAACGAGTTCAAATGAACTCTTTCCAGGGGGTCTCAGTCTGCCTCCAAACAAACTCTGTTTAATAAATAATTTAATAATTTAACAAATAATTTAACTATTGTATTAAATAATTTATCGAAGTCAAACATTTAATTTAAAATGTTTGACTTCGAAATGAACGCAACATTGAACCAAAGACATCAATTCGAACCGAAAACAGGATGTGATGTCTAGGGGTGTGATGAGATATCCTATCTGCACTTTATGATGACAGAATTCCTCGTGAATTCAGTCAATGACAGCCTCATATTGTGATGCCTTGTTTTGCCTGACAGTTTTCCAAATGTACCTGGAAAAGCTTAAAGAAAGCAATCCTTTTCATCTATCACGTGTCAAAAGACCTTCATCATGACGGGAGAAACTGAGCGTCTGTGTCTGTCTGTCTCCATCAGGTGGTTTGACATCGGCTGTCTGATCTTGGATGATCCTGGGAATGGGATTCACATTGAGACGTTCACTCAGGCTACACCGGTGGCCCTGCAGCACGTACAGCAGGTAAAACCATTTCTGCTGTTCATGACACACTCACTGGTGTCTGAGGCTGTTCTTCACACCTGACTTATTTGGAGCGTTTGTTTCGGAGATTGGCACATTTTCTCTTAGTTCGTTTTATTCAGCCATATGCTGAGTAATGCAGGTGAGGACTAGTTCATCCATTAGTTCTCTCCTGAATGAGGGGGTCTCAGCTTGATTAAAAACAAACTTTGGAGCAACCCAACCGACCAACGAACCAAGCTGTATCATAATTCATAAAAGGAAATGCGTTTCATAAAAAGCAGCTTAAAAAAACATATAGCCCCTCATCATCTTGTAAGCCCGTCTAGATCGGCCCGATGGCGGCATCCGATAGAACGGGTCTCTGCAAAACAACTCTACTGTCTTTCCGTGTGGCAAAGTCATTTAATTCCATTTAAGCTTTTATCTGACTCCATTTTATATCTGACTCCATTTTATCACGACCTCAAATTTAGGTTAGATTGCCAATTGGTTATTGGTCAATCATATAATACTTTAGCAAAACATTTGATTGTTCTATATAACTCTTTACTTATAGTTTACCCGTTCATATTAGGAAGCTATGTCGCTCTGAGGTCCTCACACCTTCTGTTTAACGCGGGTCTCGCGATCACAAGCTCGTCAGTTTTGGTCACCAAACAGAGGTAATTGCCATATACCTGAGATTGGTCGTATTCACGCTTACACAATCAAAGATACTTCGGTATAGCCCCCGTGATTGCATACACTTGAAATTAAAGTAACGTTTACTTCAGGTGGAGGTATGGCCACTATTACAGATATAAGTTGACCAACATTACTTCTCTTATAATAGTTTTGGATTGGCCATGCCATGGCTGGTTTCCCACGTACACTTATCTAAAGTAAAATTCAATTAAAACAGAGGTAAGACACACCCAGATTTAAATTGATCAAGTAGCATTTTTGCTGTTCTAAACCGAAATTCACTTCTTGTCTTTGCGAACCACGTACACTTGAATTAGTGCCAAATATTAGTCGTCACTAATCTAAAATACATGATACGAAAAGTTTTGCATACACTCATACACATCACAGGCTAATTTGAGTTACAAGTCGCCACGAGCCTCTTCAGCATCTCCCTAAATTCAAATGTAACCATGAGTTCACAGTGGGAATTTGTGTTAATCACCGTCCCAGAGTTACTGGAGTTACAGAAGCTGATGTACATGAGGGCAGACACACAGCTGTTAACAGGATATCTCTAAACTCTCCACACCGTATTACCTGTCTGGTTTACTTCTGTGGGAAGGAGACCTGTGTACCAGTCGCACTGAGACATTTCAAATGATACCAAACATGTGTAATAGTGTATGATAATTGTTCATATTAAACCATATAGATGTTTTGGGTGAATTCAGGTAGGGATGGGTGAAGGGAATGATGTGTACATTGGTAGGTGATCAACTCAAGTGTGATTGTGTCTCGAATGGGGGTGGTAGCAAGAGTGTTCAAATGTTAATTTCCTTTATTTTCTCAGAGAGCAGCCCTCTCTTACAGTTCTTCCAGTTTCTCCAGTCTTACAATCTTAAAATGTTGTCTAATTCGCCTTTGGCTAAGCCCCGCCCCCCTTAGTTACTGTTGCTACGTCCGACAAACAAACTTCATCTGGGCTCTGGTATCAACATGGCGTATGCTGTGACAGCTCTTCCTGCTGAAATTTTATAACTTTTATAATGCAGCAAATAAAGTGTCCGATAGAAGTAGGCAAAAAGGGCTGCAATACACGTTCGAAGGCTATATTCACGACATACAGGTGAAACAGGAACAACAAGGCATCCAAATAGAGGCAAAAGCATACCGGTCACAGTAAAAAAAATGACCCACCGCATATCCTACTACTCGAGACGGAGGCTGGGACTCACAATATCAGGAGCAACACTGTTCATGCAAAGCTGGAGGTCTCTATTCACTTCTATAATCGTTATTACAACGCAAACGGACTACGCAAGTATAACGTTGTATTTATTAGCAGCGTGTGCTAGACGACACTTGTCAGGATTTGACTTCGGTTTTGGGAAGGGAAAAAAACGCACACCCCCCTCCAACCTCTCTGGGAAACGCGTATCTGTGTTACAAATGCCCCAGGCACAACGTTTAACCATATTCTTGATAAAGCTACGACGGTAATAGCCTGCCGAGACCATAAATAAGAGACGCCTGTGTTAAAGTCAATGGAGCGCTGTGAAAAAGTGTCGGACCACTATGGGAGCTCGTTCTTGACTGCGCTGTGATTGGTCAATCTACATTCTAGGGCGTGGCTTAGCCAAAGGCGAATTGCTCTTCTAAGAAACAGGTGCATTGCAGGAATGTTGTCACGACAACTTTGATTCCTGCTCTAACTGATTTATTAAACATCTGTTAATGTCAAGTCAAGTCAAGTCATCTTCATTTATATAGCGCTTTTAACAATGAATTGTTTCAAAGCAGCTTTACAGAGATAAACATATAATTTAAGGTAACAGATTGTTTTGGCGTTATAGCGGTTCTTGAATAATGTTACTTCCAGCTAAAGTTAACTTTGATTGATTCACCTCCGTCGAAATGATCAGACTTTAAACGCGAACCTGTGATTAACGCTGACGGCGTTCACATGCTCATTCAGAATTCTATAGTTATGTGCTTTTTAAAATATGTGCACAGGTTTGTAATTCATACAACCCAGCCTAAACAAACTACTTTTCTTGCCTATAAATTTTGATACAGAATTTTGTTTTATTTTATCACTTCGGGGTACGCGAGCCGGAATTCACAGCGCTTTATCTGTAGAGTGGGAAAGGGATCCTCCATAGGGAGAGGATAGTGGATACTTCAGCACTGCATTGTCATCGGGTCCAGGCGAATCTCCTTCGTCAGATCTGGACACGGCCTGGATCCGGCAGGCTGTGGGAAAACCTCGGGATAAACAAAGACACTAATATTAGCGTAGATGCCATTCTTCTTATGATGTAGCGAGTACATCAAGATTTAAGGGAAGTGTTCCCAGTTCCGGCTGACCTAATCTATGCAGCCTAACATTGAATTTATAGAAGTCTATAATGTATTATGTGTATGCTAGGTCAAAGAGATGTGTTTTTAGTCTAGCTTTGAACTGACAGTGTGTCTGCTTCCCGGACAATGGTAGGAAGACTGTTCCAAAGTTTTGTTGCTAAATAGGAAAAGGATCTACCGCCAGCAGTCGATTTAGATATTCTAGGTATTATCAACTGGCCGGAATTTTGAGATCGCAATAGACGTGACGGACTATAATGTGTTAAGAGCTCGCTCAAGTACTGGGGAGCTAAACCATTTAGTGCTTTGTAGGTAATCAACAATATTTTAAAATTTATACGATGTTTAATAGGGAGCCAATGCAGTGTTGACAGAACCGGGCTAATATGGTCATATTTCCTGGTTCTGGTAAGAACTCGAGCTGCGGCGTTTTGAACTAGCTGTAGTTTGTTTATTAAGCGTGCAGGGCAACCACCCAGTAGAGCATTACAATAATCTAGCATTGAGGTCATGAACGCATGGACTAATTGTTCCGCATTTCCCAATGAGAGCATATGGCGTAATTTAGATATATTTTTAAGATGGAAAAATGCAGTTTTACAGATACTAGACACGTGACTTTCAAATGAGAGATTGGTATCAAAGAGCACACCCAGGTTCCTAACCGACGACGAAGACTTGACAGAGCAGCCATTAAGTGTTAGACAGTATTCTGGGTTATTACGTGTGGAAGTTTTTTGTCCAATAATTAGAATCTCTGTCTTTTCAGAATTTAGTAGTAGGAAATTACTAGTCATCCAATTTTTTATATCAGCTATGCATTCCGTTAATTTTGTGAATTGGTAAGTTTCGTTGGGTTTTGAAGAAATATACAGCTGAGTATCATCGGCATAACAGTGAAAGCTAACTCCATGTTTCCTAATGATATCTCCTAATGGTAGCATGTACAGAGTGAACAGCAGCGGTCCTAGTACTGAGCCTTGTGGTACGCCATACTGAACTTGTGATCGATAAGACATCTCTTCATTTACTGCTACAAACTGATAACGGTCAGTTAAGTATGATTTAACCTGTTAACCGTCACCAGTGCGTGGGCGCTCTGAAGCGTTTTTTTTTTTAAATAGTTCAAAGTTACTATCATATTTAATGTGATTAACTTGACAAACTATACATCATTAAAACGATATAAGACTCAAGTTTCAGTATTTGACCACTATTGTATTCTGTGAAACTTATAGTGACAGTTATGTCTTAATTTGTGTCAGGAGTTATGAAATAAAAAAATGAGTCGTTACCTTTAATATGAATTATGAGCGTCAGCTGCTCTCATTCAGAAAAAAACTCCCGTGCGATCGTCATGACAGCGATTCACAAAACAACGTCCCTCAGGGCTTTTAGCTCAAACATGTGCAGATTTGGAGAAATATTGATAGATTCTCATAGGTTTACATCAGACTTCTATAGACAGGAATAATATTTATTGAATTTATACCCAAATGCGTCGATGTAATCATTTTGAGCGCTGTATACTCTGATGTACAGTTGTGTTATCCATTCATACTAACTGTTTGGGGCGCTGTTTGCACAGTAAAGTCCATATATGGATCACATGAAGAAGAGCCATAATCATGTGACATTCAGGAAGTTCTGACACATAAACAAAGCTATCCGAGATCGCTGTAAAGTGCAGATAAAGATGTTTTGAAGACAATAAACATGATTGCAATGATATTTGATTTACCTGTGTTCTTCGAGTCATGTCAGGTATTTTCATAATAATAGATTATATGTATAATGTAATGCTAATCGAGATAGACTTTCAAATTGTGCAGAATACAATAAAATAATATATTTTCTATCTGATTTTTTTATCTGAAGCCAAATCAGATTACAGAAAGTTATTTAAAACACTCGACTTGCGCTATAAAGTAAGTTGGAGCACAAACATAGTTTTATTCTCATAAATTGTC